TTTTTTTTGAGTTGGAGTCTTACTCTGTCGCTCAGACTGGAGTGCAGTGGCCGCTCCTGGTCACCACAGCCTCGACCTGCTGGGTTCCTTCCGCCTCAGCTTTCCAAGTAGCTGGAACTACAGGCGTGCAGCTACCACGGCCAGCTAATTTTTTGATTTATTGTAGAGATGCAGTCTCATCAAGTTGCCCAGGTGGGTCTCGAATCCCAAAGGCGCGGGATTACAGGTTGAGCCACCGAGCCCGGCTGACAGTTATAATCTTTATGTACTCAACACTTCTTTCCCTTCTTTGTTAACGCACTTTCATTTTCCTTTGGGGAAACTCCTTTCACTCAGACCCTGTGGTTTGGGTATATATGAAGGGTATGTAAAGCCATTTCCCTTGACATTTGTTAGACGTAGGTAAATGTCCTCAGCTTGGCAGTGTGTAGTCCAATCCATGGTTACAATGGATAGTTCAGAGATGAACACAGGATCCAAGTGGGTCTGGTGAGATTCATCCTTGGCTTGCTCTTTTTTTTTTTTTTTTAAGTGTGAGTTTCATTCTGTCACCCAGACTGGAGTGCAGTGGCACGCTCACGGCCACTGCAGCCTTGTCCTGCTGGTCTTAGGCGATCCTTCTGCTTCATCCTTCCAAGTAGCTGGATCTACATGCATGCACCACCATGCCTGGCTAATTTTTGATTTACTGTAGAGACGATGTCTTGCCAAGTTGCCCAGGCTGGTCTCAAACCCTTGGGCTCAGACAATCCTTTTGCCTCTGCCTCCCAAAGTGCTGGGATTACAGGTCTGAGCCACTGTGTCCTCTTTTACTGATGGAATCAGTTGGCTTCCTCTTTTACTGATGCAATCAATTGTTAAGGAGTTTGGATGCAAAGTTGAAGATGTGGGTCTTGCCCCTGTTTAGAGAAAATAGAACCAGTGCAATGAAAGCACAGTGAAGATAGGCAAGAAACTGAGTCTCGACACTCTTGGAGCATCCCATAGGGTAAAAAGGATTTTTATTTTTTAAATTTATTTTATTGAATTTTTTGTAGAGATGGGGTCTCACTATGTTGCCAGGCTGGTCTCAAACTCCTGAGCTCAAGTGATCCTCCCTTCTCAGACTCCCAAAGTGTTGGGATTACAGGTATGAGCCACCACACCTGGCCAGAAAAAAGAAGTTCCCCCCACAAAGTTTTAAAACAGCATTTATTAGCAAGAATAAGAGAAGGAAAAACGAAGATTCATGGCAGAAAGACCTGCCATGGACAAATATCTCAAAAAGAAAAATCGCCAAAAAAGGATTAAAAAACTTTTTTGCCAGTTCTACTCTTGGGATTTGTGAACATATGGACCCCCGAAAATTTCAATTCCCTCTGCTATGGGTTTCGTTAAGTCAGTTTGAGTTGTACGCCTGGCACATCCAACTATCCTGACTTCATTCTTGCTCACTGCTAACCTCTTTTCCCATCTTCAAGCTGGATCCAGACAGAAACAAGTCTCCTGCTTTTATAGAGCCCAGGGCTTATGTCCTCTCCATAGGGTAACAGAAATTGCTCACACAATTTTGCGTATTCTCTCCCTGCTCTTTTCCTCTACAAGTTCAACAAAAGTGCTGTTTTAAAGCTGTAGTTGGTGGGAGGGGAAGAACTGAGATGCCCAGGTCCAGTCTTAGGCACTTAGCCCATGCAAGTGCCTTTGTGGGAATTAGAAAATGCCACTCCCTCTGAGCCCAGTGCCCAGGCTGGATCTTAACTCCAAATTGCTGTCCACTTCCATTTCAGCCAGAGGACACAGTGCAGGGCACAAATAGCACCACGCCTGTGCTGAGGCCTCACAGTACTAAGAAGCAAGGGTTGGAGCCATGAGGCAGAAAAACAAGCCTGTGGACAGTAGCCGATTCTGTGGCTCACCCCCTTTGTTACTGTGGTCTATTCCTAGGGTGATCATAGCTGCAGATGCTGTGAGCTTCCTGGTTATCCCCACTGGAGGCTATGGTCTCAGTCATTATCACAAATGTTGATGATAGCTGGAAAAATAATTCGATTTGTCACTTGAAAGCAGAGTTTCCAACTATCATTTAGATCTTAAGGCAGTAGCTTTTCTGGAGGGTCTTCCTGAGTTCGGTTTGGCAATCTTTACAGTCCATCTTTGTGGATGAAGTCGGTGGTTCTAGAAACCCGGTTGGAGGCCTCCTGGCAATTGGCCACTGGAGAGAAGAGAGCACCGGGCGAAGGTCTGTCACACCGGTGACCCCTTCAGGGGTGGGTCTAGGAGCCCCAGCTGGTTTTAGTTCTATCAGTCTCCCGTGCACCTGGGTGAGAGACTCCCATCACTGTGTTGAAGCAGGGAAGGAACGCGAGCAGCCCCGGGAGCAGCCCGGGGCGTGCACGAACTTCGGGGGCGATGGGGGCCGGCAGCCAAGACCCGAAAAGGAGTGCGGGCAGTTAGGGGCGGGGGCGAGGCTCCGAGAACTGTCGGGGGGCGCAGGCCAAGG